GGTGGCTGACAGCCGTCATCGATTTACCAGGCTTGGGTAAAAGGACCAACTCGCTCACGCACCAAGCTTTCGGCAATTGGAGCGGGCCAGGCTGAAGAGCGTTGGTAAGCTGGTGCGCAATGAGAGGGGCCAACCGATCACGTAAAGTCTTCCATACCACAGCCGGGGCCGAGGCGGAGGGCAGGGCTTTTCCTGGAGCCAATCGGCCAAGGGCCATGGCTACCTCCACAGATCCAATGGTGAGGGATTGCTGGAGGTGCTCTGCAGGTGGCTCAGGGCCTGAATATAGGTTCCGGAAGTGGTCGAGGATGTCCTGATGCTCCTCTTCGTGGGTTTGTAATGCACCGTCTGACGTGCGAAGCTGCAGTCTGCGACGCTGGGTCTTAGGCGCGATCCTTCTGGCCGCCTGGAAGACATTGTTATCATTCACCAAGCGCTCAACCATGCTGATCCGTTTGGCCCGACCTCGTCGACGAAGTTCTCTGGTAGTAGCCTGAAGACGGGCAGCATGTCGCCATCCCTGCCACATAGCCACAAGAGGGATATCCGTCCTTGCTGCATGTACTTGCCTCGCTTGGTCGCGGAGAAAGGCCCTAAGCAGCCAAAGCTGACGTACAAGTTGACCCGTGCCTGCATCTGACACATGGGCTGCTTGGTTCCCTGCCTCGGGCTGTGGCCTGCGAGTAGTTGTCTCCACCTGTTCCCATGCTGTGCGTAGAACGCCATCCAGATCACAGCACCTAGCCTCGAGGTTGTCCAGGTCCTCCGTCCTCGACCAAAGTGCTTGAACAGCCTCCGGGTTGGAGAGAATCTTCTGTGCTGCGGCAGGGAGGTATTTGACAAGACCTTGCCGTCGTTGCTGAGGAGGTGAGGGAAAGGGGATGGTGCAGCCCACTGGGAGATGCCTGCACCCCGATATCGGGACAAAAGGTGCCGAAAAGGTGCCAGCCCTTCTGGCCTCTGAGTCGCCAAGGTTGTCTCTGACAATGATGTAATCAATTTGAGTCCCCTGGGTGGATGCCCCCGCTGTTGGCGGGAGGTATGTCCTGGCACGATGGCCTTGATGCGACCAGGAATTGAGCACACGGCCGTCAGCCTGTCGGAGTAGCTGTTGAAGCTCCGCTTGGTCCTGCTGTTGGAACTCCTCTCTAGGGACAACACCTGGGCCACAGAACGGATGCTCTGGCACAATAGGAGTGTTAAAATCTCCTAAGAGGAGACACCCATTACGGAGAGGAACCCGAGAGATCCACTTGGACATAGCCCTCCACACCGTTGCGCGTTGCTGTAGGAGTTGAGATACCTTGCGACCATGATCAAGTGAGCCCTTCGAGGGATTCCATGAGAACTGGTATACACAGAGAATGTCCACGGGCACCTGGAACAACAGCCGTATATGAAGCAGGCGACCTGCAACGAGCACGGTATGTCTGATCAGATCCGCCTGCACAAGATTGGCCCTGATGAGGACCAAGATGCCCGCCTTCTCTTTGCTGCCGCTGTGCACAGCAAACCAACGCGCAGCGGGGCTGTCGCCTCCTGTGACATACTCATTGTCTTCGCGCCACGAGGTCTCCTGCAGGCATAAGATGTCCACAGGGTGCCCAAGACGCTCCTCCTGCTTCATCCATTCCATTACTTCCATGTAGGTGGTGGAGGCAAGGCCTCCACAGTTCCAAGTCACCACTCGGAGACGTCGTCCTGGCCTGTTGTTCAAGCACATCGTCTGCGAAGTGGGTTGATGAATCTCTGGAGAGACTAAGTCCCGGCCTTGCGTAAGATCTCGTAGAGACATGCGACGCCCCCTGTACAAGGTTGAACCATCAGGGCTTGCAGTAGCTCGGGATATAGCTCTGGAAAGTGCTCTTTTTCTGGGAGAGTACTTGGGAAGAACATCACCAGGGCGAGCGGCCTGGCGAAGGACACCATGCTTCGCCACATGATAAACCAAAGTGCCCGAAGATGGGGCTCTCGGATCTCCGTGATGTGTGGGAGATCCAACCCTCACGTCCGTCACAGCTGTTGTCTGCTGAATCATTGTGCACATGAACAAGAAGAGAAGCCAAACCGTTACTGGCGGCCTAGAACGGCTGTGACCCCGGGAATTGGGACCCGGGCAGCTGCACGCATGTGGAGCAGATGCGGAGCGGGATAGTGTAGTCCTTGCAGAGCATACAATGGCGAAGTATACCATCCGGAGGAGCATGCGCCTACCTGTGTCGGTGACGGTCGCAGCCACACTCAGAGAGGGCCTGCACCGTGGCAGCACCTTCAGACGGGTAGCTGGCGGCTGGTTGTTGTGACGACTTTGCACATCGGCCTGCTTCACCAGCATGAGGATCAGGGAGCGGATGGGCCTGAGCAAGATCACGAAGCGCAACACATGGAGAAGGTCATAGTCTATGATGGACGCCGTCACCCGCCTGGTAGGGAGAGGAGAAGGCATTCGAGACCTGGCCGACCGAGCAGTACTGTAGGCGTCATGTCGAAGGCAAACAGAGGGAAAACAGCAATCGGCTGACTCTCTCTGTAGCACAACATCTTTTCTGGCAAGTGCCGGTCGGTGCTCACCTCGTTGGC